CCCTTGTCAGCTTCATCCATCCGCATCCTCCCATCCCCACCGCTATCACTGGCTGAAATCGGACCTCCCAAATGTACGGGCAGATGGCCCATATCTCAGACAGACACAGAGAGAGAGAGAGAGAGAGAGAGAGAGAGAGAGAGAGAGAGAGAGAGAGAGAGAGAGAGAGAGAGAGAGAGAGAGAGAGACTCACTTTCCTTTACACTTCGCATTCACACAAACAGATTGCAAGTCACACTGGCGCTCAGTGCCCACTCAAAACTCAGAGATATGGAAGTCGGAAACACAGTTCAGATACTTGCTCGCTTCAACAGGCTATGGCGCCTCAGCGTCTGTACAACTCTCTGTTCGTCACTATGCCCAACTCTGCCGTTCACACACACTCCACTCAGGATCACCCTGGATGCGACACACTGTATCACACACACGTACGCACTACACTCGCCTACCACCTACGGCAGCTATGGCCACTCGACCCTGCTGGCTATGGCTACGCCACCTCTACTCTGCCCACTTCGTCTTCGGGCGCTCTGCAGACCACCTCGCACAAGTCGCTCAAGCAGCGCTTCCGCATGGCTTACACAGGAATGAATGAATGGCTGGGCGCTGCCTCTTGATTTATACTTCTGCAGCTCGTTGGTCTGCCTCTGTCCACCGGGCCCAAGGTGCACACAGTCCCTTATGGTACTTGCAGACTGGACTCAGTGAGACTGGGATTGGGTACCACTGACTCAGCACGGGTGGACTCCACCACTTGCCCACTTGCCTCTAGATCGTGGTGAGCAACATTGAAAGGGCCACTTCCGGACCTTCCGGAAGTCTGTGGACTTGGCCCTTTGACACTGTAGCAGCTACGACCTTGACCCTTCAGGACTTGTAGCAGCTATGGACTTGACCTTTCGGAAGGGCTACAACTATGACTTCTAGAACTCGCTAAGACTTCTACCCGAGAGGTCTACAGATCGAACCCCTACAACGTACGGACCTACGACAGCCTACCAACTGCTGCGAACACACGGGTCACGGGTTTAACTCTCGGGGTCGACACAGGTATCGTACACAGGTAAGGTGAGAACTAGGGATCGAGCCCTGGGTCTGCATCCGCTACCGCTAACAGGTGAATACCGTTTCACTCACGCCGGCCTAAATTCGAGGTCCTCCGACAATAATTCAGTCTAAGATCGGACTTGTACTTTTTCTTTCTCTCTCGTAGGCTCTAACTACGTCGGGAGCTGTTTCTAGGAGTTCAGCTCTAGTAAACCAGCGTTCGTCCTCGGGTTCCTGATAAGCAAATCTGACTTTATACTGTTTATGTGGACGACCTCTACCTCCTGTTCTGAATACATCTTCACCTACAATGCCCTCAATGTCATACCTCCCATCCATGTCCGGAGGGATCATGGATCTTCTTGATGGAAACTGTTGACTTGTGACACATGGCAACAACTTTGACGCATGCAACACAGGGTAGGTGTGGAGGTGTGCTGGGATCTCTATGGTATAGGACGGCCCATCCTCTCCGCCCTTTACCTCTAGAACTGGCCACGGTCCCCTGAATGCTGGCAGTAACTTCTGCGAAATGTTTTCCTCAGGAGCAAACTCTTTGGACTTGACCCAGACCAGGTCGCCTACTTGAAACTGTGACAGGCGACGGTGCCTATTAGCCTGTTCTATCATTCGGTGCTGGGCTTTCTTGAGGTTCTCAACATCGGTAGCTAACTCCTCCTCGTGCTGTATCACAAACTCCCTAGTACCAGGCGGTAGCCTATGAATCTGGTCCCGGTTAAGTCCTTCAAACGGTCTGTGCGGTCTAAAGGACTTACACAGTTCATTGGGAGTACGACAAGTGGCTAAGTGCACACTGTTGTTATACGCACTGGCTACATTGGGCAACATCTCATCCCAGTTGACTTGATTGGGTCCAGTGTACATGCGCAGAACTTGCTGCAGGATCTTGTTCATCTGTTCGGTCTGACCGTTGGTCTCTGCATGACGGCCAGACAACATTAACAACTTTGAACCATATACTTTCATTAACTCTTGCCAATTCTGACTTGTAAAGCGGGTGTCCCTATCACTGACTATGGATAATGGGATCCCGTGCTCTCTAACCCAAAAGTCAAAAAACTTCTGAATGACTAACTCTGTCCGGGCTTCTGCGGGTAAGGGAACAAAGACAACATATTTGCTAAATCTATCTACCATTACCATGACTTGGCTCTTTCCATGTCTGCTTTTAACACTAGCATCCATGAAGTCGATGGAGACTGAATCTCCAGGCTGGTCAGGAACCGGCCCCCTTTGGCCTTCCAAACAAACAAGTGTCAGGATTGAGCCCTCAAGAAGGGGCCTTGCCATGATGTACATGTTCTGGGCTAAGGCCCCAGCAAGCCTCGTGCCCGCCCTAAGTGAAGGCGGGCCAGCAAATCAACAAGAGCCCTCTGTGCAAACATTTCACGAAGTGGGGGTCCATACAGTTGCAGCACGCCAGTTGGTTGGAGTGCACCAAGTCTCGGAGCTCTGCAAATGCAGAGATCCCAGGGCCCCAGAATTGGTTAGGCCCTGGGCACATAAACGTGAGGCCGACAATGCATGCTGGATATAGAGGCCGAAAATGCCAATGGGAAACCAGTCCACTATCTGAATCTGGCCGCAGGCCTTGATGAAAGAGGCGCAACTGCATCTCCTGGGCCCCAACTGCATTGGGCCTGGGTACAGGTACTGGGGCCCAGGCGCAGGCTCAAGGGAGGCCGCCCACACGCAACACTGGCATATAGGCAGGGAGGGCGAGTGGGCAGGGATCTTGGCCAATGCAGGCATTGCGGGCACACTGCTGCATTGTAGCGCTGCACTTGCGCTGCGGCTGAGGGAGACAGGCTAGCGCTAAGCGGCAGGGCGCTGCCTGGGCGCAGGGCGCTGGTGGCCATAGCCGGGCTGCCTGAAGGGCGCAGAGAAGGTGAAGGGCGAAGGTGGTTCTTCGGAGGTGAAGGGTGCTGTGTGGGATAACAAGGGAGAGTGAGGGAGAAGAGAGAGACGTGCCTGGTGGAGAGGAGGTCGGCATTGGTGTTGACATCATCACTCGCTGGTCGTCAAGTTGTCTGGTTGCTTTCATGCTGTAGTTGTAGTGATAGGCTGTAGAGTAGGTAGGGCGCCTGGCGCCATTCAAGAGAGAGAGYTACATTGGGTTATGCTGTTGGTGTTGCCCGATTGGGCTTGGACATTGACTCACGATTCTTCTGTATCATTCTCAAATGGATGGTTACTCGGTTCCATTGTGCTATCTGCTCTTGCTTTGACTACTTGGACTTCAGTGTGATTTTGCAATCTGGATTTCTGTGCTTCGTCCACATTCATGTTCCTTGCACAAGTGCCCTGGCGGGCCACACACACACTCAGACTGACAAGCACTCAGGCAGGCACATGAACCAGCAAGCACGCACACACATACAGACTTAGAAAACTCAGCAGAACGCGGAAATCTCAGCACGACATTCATTCCAGCAGCAAAACTCAGAAATCAGCAGTGTTCTCAGTCTGTGTTTTGGCGTGTCATTACAGCTCTGAGATGTTGTTGAATTGAGGGCTCATTGCGCAGGAGTACCGACTGCATGATCACATCAGGACTCGAACTCGTGCTCTTTGAAACAATGGTGCAATTGAAGGGCCGGTTAACGCCCTTGAATTGCAATATCACTTCATATGTGAATTGATGGTGTAAATTTGTGAGGGTGTCAAGTCCTTCGACTGCGATTTCTTCGCTGCTGTGTTTTGCTTACTGATCTCAGGAACTCGAACTTTTGTTGTATGGCACATCTCCTCTGTGGGCCACACCTATATCAGATCTGATTGATATTGAAGCACTGGAGCGACGGTTTCATGCGGGAGTTCATGTTGACACAATCCTCTTGTGCCCAGCTCCAGAAATAACCCACAGGAACAGCGGGAACAGCGGGAAGCTCATAGTCCATAAGTCGGGTAAGCGGGAATTGGTTCCAACTTCCAACCTGACTTGAGTGCCAATTCTCTTCTCTATGAGTGAGGCCACAAAAGAATCCACCCCATTGTGTGTGTGTGTGTGTGTGTGTGTGTGTATCGTAAATCATTCCCCATGGCGTACTCGCCATGCAACCCACTATCACAGTGGTACACCAGGCCCTGGTCATGTCCAAACTAGCACTCTCTGGTCCCTGCGGCTTACCATGACCAGCTTTCCAGAGTCCCACATAGGATGGAGGGCATGGGAGGCGGGAGGGCAGACAATATGCAAATAGACCAAACAGCCTAACCAAAAAAAACAAAGTCCCAAAAAGATACCAAGGCCAGGAGGAAAACAATAGGCTGGAGGGCATGGGGGAGGCGGGCAGGCAGACAACATACAAGCACACCAGACAGGTGAACTTCGAAATCAAACAGCATCATACACATGAGACCAGATAGTCGTGACCTCGAACCAAAAGCAGAATTGCATCACGAGTTTCACCAAATAAGAACACAGCAGAAGCTCATAATTGACCATGCTGGAAAAGTCTCATCATCATCAACGAAGAACCAATGTCGATATCCTATCTGGCGCTCGGCGCCCAGACTACGAATGGCAGATCCTATATAGCCTAGACTACAATGCGGCTGATGACGTCAACAGCTCCCCGAAGTACCAGCAGATCGCGGACAATGCCGCATGCTTCAAGCACCAGGTATGTCTCTCGTATCACTCACAACCTCACTCCCCAACTCACAGATGCCACATGCACCCAAGGACCACCATGCGCCCCATCCAGCATACAGCAGTGGAGCTCGGTTATGGCTGCCTGCTCCTTCCAGCTCGCCCGTGAGCGCATGAGCCTGGCAGGCGATAGCGCAGCAGCGCTTGCGCACAAAGCAGCCAGTGCCCAAATGTCCCCAACGTGGGCTGGCCCTTTCCTATATGGAAGTGGCCAGCCTGCGTGCTTGCACCCTAGCTGCGCTGGGCCCTTGCCCAGAAGCTTCCGGAAGGCCCTGGGAGGCTGAGCCTCAGACCAAATGAATCGGGCCCAGGGCCACCGACGGTTACCCGTGTCCAATTGCCCACAGTCTGAGTTGGGCCTATGCCGCGTATCTCGCCCAGGGCCTGACTCAGATACATTTGATAAACGGAGACCAGGGTCTGGGCGCTTTCAACCAACTGCCGCTGCGCAACTGCCTGAATTTTGCCCCAGTTGCGAAGTAGTCCAAAATAGGCCTCCTATCATCTGTCGGGCCTGCCTTCACTTAGGGCGGCTGACGTTGTTGCGAATAGGGGCCAAGTAGGGCTTATTGAGGCCTTGTGCCTCACATTTCCTCCTCGATACTTCGCTAGTCCTCTGAGAAGTTCAGTCTTTGATAATCTGGCGCTTTCCTTTCTGTAGAGACTTCTCATAATGGGCGACAACCTGTGGAGCGGTCTGCATCAGTTCCTCCCTGGTAAACCAGCGGTCCTCCTTTGGATCAGTGTGATGTCTGAACCGAACCCTGTACTGCAGCTTCAGTTTTGGAGGACGTCCCCTGCCTGTCGGTCTTGGAACTGGCATTTCCCAATGGTCAACAATGTCATCGATGTCGACCTCTCCATCCATGGTTGGGGGCAGCATCGAGCGACGAGAGGGAAACTGATCTGTTTCTTCAAAAAGTGCAAGCTTAGAAGCATGGAAAATCGGGTAAGTGCGTAGGTGACGAGGGATGCGAATAACATAAGAAGGGCCATCGGGTTCATCCCCAACAACATCTAGAATCTCCCATGGCCCAAAGTACTGCGGCATGAGCTTGCGGGAGATCCCGTGCTCCTGTCCCAGTTCTGAGGACTTGACCCAGACTCTCTCTCCTACCTGAAATGTGGATGTGCGGCGGTGTTTGTTCTCATACTCTATCATCGCCGCTTGTGCCTTGTGCATCTGTTCAACAGCCTGCTGCATCAGCTGCTCAAATCGATAAGCAAACTCTAAGGTCCCTGGTGCAGTAGAGTGCTGGTTCTCAGGTAGTAAGAAATGCAAGGGCAGTCTAGGCTTAAAGGTTAATAGCAGAATATTCGGGCTCACGCCCGTTGCGCTGTGCACCGCGTTGTTGTACAGGCTGGCGATGAGAGCAAGTTTCTCATCCCAGTCTACCTGAATTGGCTCGATGTAATGCCTCAGCAGGTGTTGTACAGCGCGGTTCAATTGTTTTGCTTGCCTATTCGCCTCAGGATGGTTTCCTGATGTCATCTGCAGCTGCGTTCCCTGTTCTGCAGCTGCGGCTTTCCACAGCTGACTTGTGAACCGCACATCACGGTCACTGACTGTAGATTTTGGCAGTCCAAAATCTCTGACCCAGTTCTCTTTGAACAACTTAATTACGTATTCGGTCTTAGCTGTTGCAGGCATTGCGACTAACCTAGCGTACTTACTAAATCTATCCACAATGACATAGACGTAGCACATTCCACTCTTGTTGGTGACCAACGTATCCATGAAATCCATGGACAGGCTCTCACCAGGCCTTTCCGGAATTGGAAGGGGCTTCAAAAGCCCAAGAGGAGCCTGTGTACGTGGCTTGTCCCTCTGACAGACCTGACAAGTTTCCATGTACAGCTTCGCGTCTCTCATCATCGTGGGCCACTAGAACCGCTGCAACAAATTGGTTGTAGTCTTCTTGAAATCAAAATGGTCGGTGGCGTCATGACACTCTCCTAAAAATAAACTGCGCAAAGACTCTGTATTCGGTACATACAAACGTTTATTCCCAGCCTTCTCAAGGAACAGCAAGCCGTTGACCAACTCAAACTTAGCAGAAGTCACTTTGTCCTTCGCCTCGAGTCTACGAATGATCTCAGACATAAACGGATCCTCGCGATAGGCTTCCACCATAGAATGAGTAACATCGTCCGCAAGCCCAAACTCAGTACCGGAGAAGTCAGGCATACGTGACAAGGCATCAACAACTTTGTTTTACTCCCCCTTCAGGTACTGGATTCGAAGTCATACTGTTCAATGACTTCGATCCAGCGCTTCAAGGCATCAGAGAGCACAGGCTGAGTTCTCATCCACTTCAGGATCTGATGATCACTCCTGACGATGAAGAACCTCCCAAGGAGATAATGTCTCCAATGGGTCATTGCCTTGTAAATCACGTAGAGTTCCTCATAGGTGGACTTAGCCAACTTCTAAGAGGGCATCTTTTTGGACATGTACTCAATAGGCCTCAACTTTGGCCCCTCCTGCTGCGCGGGCACGACGCCTATGCCATATTGGCTAGCATCCGTGGTAACTATTAACGACTTGTTAGGATCAGGAAGTTTCAAGACCTCATGATGCGTCAACGCATGCTTCAGATGTCTGAAAGCAGCCTCGCACCTGTCTGTCCACTCCCATGGGGTGTCAAGGCGGGTAAGGTCCATCAAAGGGGCGGCAACTATGCTATAGTTCTTCACAAAATTGCGATCGTAGTCGGTCATCCCTAAGAAGGACCTCATCTCAGTCACAGACTGAGGACGCGGCCAGTCACGAATGTTGGCCACCTTCGCGTCATCGGGCTTCAATCCCTCCACGAAAATCTCATGACCCAAGTACAAGATACGGGTGCGGCCAAACTCGCACTTCTCACCGTTGATCTTGAACTTATGCTGTCGAAGGAGACTAAGGACTTTGTCCAGATGAGCTACGTGCTCCTCGACAGTCCTACTAAAGAAAGTACGTCATCGAGGTACATGATGACAAACTTGTCCAAGTAGTTATGAAAGATCCGGTTCATAGCGTGCTGAAAGGTGCCAGGAGCACTGCAAAGGCCGAAAGGCGTCACCACAAACTCGTACAGACCGTACCTGGTTTGAAAAGCGGTTGTGCTAATCCTCGGGCCGTATTGCAATTTGATGGTATCCGAACGTCAGATCTATCTTACTGAAGTATCGACACCCTTGCACTCTATCGAGCAAATTGTCGATGCGCGGTAGGGGCTCTCGATTCTTGATAGTGATGGCATTGAGGCCCCTATAGTCAATGCACATCCTCAGAGTTCCCCCCTTCTTCGGCACAAATAAGACTGGAGATCCGTAAGGGGAGACACTCGGCTGGATCCAACCCTTCTCTATGAGTCCCTTGAGTTGTCGGTGTAGCTCGTCAAGCTCGCCTGGGGACATCCGATAGATCCTACCCTTCGGGATACTAGACCTTGGGATAATCTCTATCACGTGGACGACCTCCCTCTCGACAACCCCTGTCGGCTCTTCAAATAGATCAGGGTACTTAGCAACTACTCCCTCTATCTCCGGCGGCATTTTCACCAGCTCGCCTGCTGCAGAGACATAAACTAGATACACACCGCCCTCCGGATTTTTTGCTTATAAAAGTTATAAAACGGGGCAGCACACATGCATCCGTAGGACTCGACCAGACTACTAGCCTTAAACTTACGTAATTTGGCGGTCCTCCCACCTGGCAAAATGTGTTTAACCACTTTTCGGTCCCAATCAAACTGGGGTTGTGCCACAAAGAGGTTGTACATACCTAACAAGATATCCATAGGGAGATCATCGCCCACTAGGAACGAGACGCGATGTCTCAGTTCCCCTCCCTCGTACGAGAAACAACACTCCACATCCTGGAGGTAGTCATTAACTACCATGCGCTGTTTGTTGGCACAGGTTGACTCCACAGGTCGACTCAGGCGCTGCACTTGCCCCTGTAAGCGCAGCCTCTCAACGCACGCTCGATTAATGAAGTTCCTAGTCGAGCAAGTGTCATAATAGGCCCCGGCCCCGCGGCCGCCAACGACCACCTCGCTGACGAACATCTCACCCTTAGGGGCTTTTGCCAATGCCGTCCAAGAAGCTTTTGGGTCTGATCTAGACCACTCCTCCTCTAGCTCCTCTAAGGATTCAAACACATTCATCGACCAGAGGCTCGATGGGTCTGAACGTGTTTGCGGGACAACGATGGAGTAAGTAGCTTGGCCCATCTCTCGAGATGGTGAGGGTGTGTCCACCACCTCGACCCTAGCAGGAACAACTACTATTCCTACTGGCCCGACGTGTTTCCCGGAGCAGTGCCAGAACTGTTGGCCACATTGCTACCAACGGGAGTGGAGGATCCCAACGCCTGCCCCATCGTAGTCGGGATCTTCTTGGTCACCTTCTTGTTGCATCACTTGAATTGCTTATGGTCATATTGACCACAACGAATACAGGCCTGCCTGGTGTACCTGTCTCTCCACACGTCCTCTGTGAGACCCCTTTTCTCCCATGTAGGAGCGTTGGGGTCAACTTGACTCCTTGACCGGGAACCTCCTTGGCGTCTACCGGTCGCCTTACCTTTTTGAGCTGCGGCAGCGACTACTCCACCCCCTGAAGCCTCTACACTGCCAGCCTCTGAACCTACTCCCGACTGGAACTCGTCGTCCAACTCGATGGTAGAACCATCGTTGTCGACGAACATAATACGACCCTTCGCCTTCTAGTTGGGAGGCAATGACTTCTTCCTACCATCCGTCGTGGGTGTTTGACCATGCCCTATCTTTGCTTCTAGGTCTACGGCCTTATTGCTAAACGACGGGAAGTTATGCATGTTGATGTTGGCCTCACCTACCAACTGATTTCGCGAGAGGCATTGGAAAGCATCTCAGGTAGGAGGTGAGTAATACCTGGGGGTCATAGCGCACCCCAGGGACACAGATCAGACACTCTACTGCCTTAAATTGTCGTGTATGCAATGTCAGGATCGCGTCAGTGGCCTTTTGGGCCTCCTGAGGATCATGCCACCTATCTTCCACCATCTTGAGAAAGTCCTCCAGTTTCTGGTGGGCTGCCCAAGCGCGGAAGTCATGACCTTATCCTTGCAACTGCACTAAACCACTCAACCATCTTGCTGCACTATCCTCTAGGTAGGATGCAGCCACAAGCACTTCCTCGTGTGGCAAGGTAAGTTTACACTTAACATAGACTGGCACTGCCCTCAACCACGTGTCGAGGTCTTCGCCCCTCTTATCCCCTGTAAAGGGTTTCGGAGCGGCGATGGCCGTCTTTGGAACCCACTGACTTCGTCCCGATACCTGCACCAATCCGGGTTGTGGACCCTGTGGTGCAAGCTGCTGCACTGGCTTCTGTTGGGGCTGTGTGCCCTGCGGCTGTGCAGGCTGCGAGACAGCAGGCGGCCCGCTCACGACAACCTGCGACGGAGGTTGGGAAAACACTGTCTGTACAGGAATCTGTATACGAGGACCTGCTGACAATCCACCTGTTAAAGGCATACCTAGGGAAACGGGCTGGACCGATGCTGGAACTGTATATGGGGATATCCCAGTCACCGATGGGACAAAAGGAGGAGGTTGTACAACGGGTCAGGCACCAAGCCCGGACGGTGATGGTGCCACCTGCACTCGTTCGACTAACACAGCCAGACTCTGGTGGATGTCCTGTAAGATCGCCATTTGGTGATCTTGCATCTCTACTACACCTAGCAAGATGGACCTTATGGTCCTCACATCATCTTCCAGCTCTGCTAGGTCCATCTCCTCTAACTCACTGATGCCCGCTTGCCTCCGCTGCATCCTGGCTCTTCTTCTAATCATTCTCTCTTTCTCCGCCTTAATCTCACCCAAAGCCTGTTGTAGTTGTGACTCGCGATCAGCAGCTCGCTGTATGGCAACCTCCTCGGGAGTCATCACTAATGGCTGGCTTGCCATAACGCCAGTGGACTGACTCTGGGTTTGTGCAACCGTTGACCCTACAGACCCTGAACTGCTGCGCAGCAGTTGCCATGGCTGCTGAAACAGCGGCTTCGCTTGCAAATGCTCTGCTGGCCTCTGCTGCCCTAGCTCTCCGCTGTTGCTGCTGTCTCTCCCTAAGTTGGCGGAACAAAAATCTATCACCCTCTGGTCCTAATGCCAAGTGGGCTATAGGGCGTCTTGGCGATCGCAAAAGCCTATCGTCCGGTTGTGGGACCTCCCTGTCGCTCATAGACTACAGCACTGTACGGTGTCTGCACTAGGAAGCACTTGATGCCTACCACAACATGCTATACAGACCGATTAAATACTCGGTGGCTACGTCAGAGACTAAACATTTGGGTCCAACAGGTAAGTTCAGATTCCTAAAATGATACTACTTTGACTTTCACTAGTTCGCAAACAGAAAGCACAATGAACAGAATACAGTTATAACTATGCTGTCTGTCAGATGTTAATGGTTGTACATCTAACTATTCAAAATAAAAATAGAATCGTTTGTTGGGTCTGTTCGCAGAATGGAATCTTGCCTAAACTTATCACCTGGAATCTACCCCTCCCTCAGTTCTTCTTGAATGCCTCTTGTCGTCAACGTCCCTGAGCGATCCAGATAGCGTGCGTGTCTGAAGGTGTGCACACGGCCCGCCCCTGTGCCCCGAGTCCCGCTGAGCTGGCCAGCCCTGCACCGTATTTATCCTCGCGTGCAGCGAGCCTTACACCGACCACTTGGCTGATCAGGAGGCGTTTTTATGGACGGCCCCCGAAGTCCTCAGGAATTCTTTAACGTCACAGACAGGACGACGATCACAGCCAATGGAAGGTACCCCGCCGGTGCTTATTCATAGACGCCCGGTCTCGTCTGTCCCATAGGGCTGGCCTGCCCCTTAGAACCCCTCTACAGCGCAGCGAGCAGACAAGGACAAAGCAGCAAAGCATGCGTGCTCTACTCCCGGTGGGTTGGCATGGTGGCCGTGACCTTGTGCTTCGTCCAGGGCCCTTCAGATAGCACCGCCCTCTCCTTCCAGATGCTCCAAGTGAAGGTTGAGCGCACACGACCCCTCACATGAGAGGACTCACAAGACAGAACACAC